GTTCTTTGTCGTCTGACGCACGCGTAACACCCGACAACTTGTTAGAGGCGTCCTAACTTTCGTCCTAAGATTCTGAGTTTCTCATACGAGTGTTTTTCGTAGAGAACTTTGATTCTTCCGTAATCATCGGTGTTGTGAATTAAAATTATTGCCTAAGATATTTTATAACTGCACAATTTGTTATATTTTACGTTTTTTTTACTAAGATCTGTAATCATTGGGATGCTTAATTAATAAAATAAGTTAAAATTTTCAGGTGCGTTCAGTAAACGAGCGATAGAATACGTAACATCGCATTTAACTTGGGCATATATCATTTATACACTTTTTTACTTACCAGAAATAGGAAAGGTGTATGAAGATGGTTACTTTCCTACTTAGTTTTAAACAACATACGAGATATTTATGCTTTTAGTACAGAAACTGAAAGTTTTGTAGGTGAAAAGAATTAAATAAACATATTTAAACAAACACGAATAAATATCAACGTACTGCCTGAAGCTTCGGAATATAAGACGTAATCAAAATTTGAAAACATTTCTTATTTACATTAATTTATTTATTTATTTAAAAAAATATTAATAGGTACAGCTACAAATATGACGCAAAGAGAGAGAGAGAGAGAGGGTGATTGTGAAGGAGACACTGGGATACAATCGAAGGGATGAGCAAAGTTATTCGAAGAAAACCAAGAAGAGACAGGATCCTAAATAATCAAATTATACAAGAAATAAATATTAAAATATAATAGCCGTGGGGTTACAGGAGGAATAATTTAAGATTGTAAGACAATAACAGAACGTTCGTTCATTTAATGTAAAGGAACTGCGTCTATTGTCCAATGATATTATGAACTACGCCTTCGGGCTCTGAACGTTTCTGCAAGTTAATAAAAAATGAATATGGGCCAATGTTTGTATTTATGAAAAGGATATTATCCGCTCTGCGTCTCCTGTGCCAGAATATGCCAGTTCTAACTCAAACGGAAGGAATTTTTAAAAAAAATTCCATTGTAATTGGAGGACAGGAATGTCATCTTCATGGCATTTATTTTAAATATTATGAATCAAATCCTCGGGTTTGCAAGTTTCACACAGAATGGCTTCGACATTTGGGGTCATTTACGTTGTTTAAACCATTCAGAAGTTTCAAGAAAGCAAAGAGTTATTGGAAAATGTATGGGACATGTCAATTTGAGGTCTAAACTGAGGATTTAAATTTTTTTTAACGAAGATATGCATGTTATAAAAAGAAACACGAAAACTCTCTTCGATGTTGGTAAGAAATTTATTGTAGACGTAAAAGTAGAGAAATTTGTTGAACTAATAATTCGTGTCTGCTCATTGGACTGCAAGGGAAAATAATTTCTCTATGTAAGTCAACAAAATGAAATCATATTATAACTGCGGGATTTTTAAGTTACGCGTGACGTCAACACATCTCACTATTCTACAGTTTGCATTTAATAACAAAAATAATATGAAACTCGATCACAGGATAACATTAATCTTCTTGTGGTTTTCAAACTTGAAAGACATGGTTTCATGACAGATAAGTACGTTGATATTTACGATATAAAACGCACTTCTTAAACAAAACTGGAGATAATGCTGCATCCAGGATTTTTGTGTATTTACTTAAATTCCTGAAAAAATGGAATGATTTATAAAAATCTACTATACGAAAAGAGGAATATATATTACCTGGTCTTTAAACGCCAAAATGGCCACTGAAAAACGGCACATGTGTGGCTGGTATATTCTGTTACGAAAATGGCTGCCTCCGTTATCAAAGCGATGACTAAGCTTCGTGAGAAAAAATCGGCCCTTATCACAGCCACTCGAGGACCGACGGTGAGATCACCGTTTACAACAAAATAAAGATGTAAGAACAAGTTGAAGAGAAGAGGTGATATGAAGGATAGGGAGAAGGAAACAGAGAAAAATACAGAAAAAACTGCCTCCGTTATCAAAGCGATGACTAAGCTTCGTGAGAAAACCTCGGCCCTTATCAGGGCCACTCGAGGACCGACGGTGATACCACCTATTACAACAGAATGAAGATGTAAGAACAAGTTGAAGAGAAGACGTCGTTTGAAGGATAGGAAGAAGGGAACAGAGAAAAATACGGAAAAATTATTTAAAAAGTCACAAGAGTGGAGCGTTCGTATATATCGTGTTAGCCCGGCTAACACTTTTTAAGAATGAAAAATAAAAAGACTTACTTTCGTCAACAAGTGACACCGGATACACCAAAACACAGCAAAAGCGGTGGATTAAAACGCAACTTCTAGAACGTAAGACATTTTATTTTTCGATTCTCGAAGTGTTAGTCGGGGCCAACACGGTTAACATGCCTTTGCAACTCTCCCCTCTGCATTCGTACAATTTTTAGCGTGACTTCGAACTCTCTTACCTTTATCGTGTTTCGTTTCCTGTGAACGCTGCAACTAGCGAGTTCCTTCATCGGATTATTCCTCTCCCCTTGCCACAGCAGCCACACGACTCGACTTATAACGTCATCCCTTCACAGAAGAACGTTTCACATACCCGGCTGGCTCGTGGAGTGCCTCTTTGTAATGTCGAGGAGTCCCAGGATGTAATTTTCTAAACGAGATATTCCTTAAAATTCACAGGCTGTTTCTGTAATACATGACATAACTTTCGGCGTGTGTTCCATGGTCTCTTTGAATCAAGGAAAATTACAGGGGCAGAGACACACACGGTAAGATTTCATGGTACTTGCAGAAAGTGATAACGCAAATTCAATCACAGCAATGACGCCAGAGACTATTCTGGATCAAACACTTTTAAGACAAAAGAAAGTAAGAATGTATTTGTCAGGGCGATTGGATGTTATATTAATTCCGAGACAACGTTTTGATTAGGTTTCGCAATTATTTACCTCACGTTCAGACATGTTAACATAGGTAGTTCTGGAATTAACCTTATCGTAACTTATAAGTACACTAATCAAAATATATTTACGATCCTCAAAACAATTTTTTTTTAAGTGTTCTGTCTGAGGACAGGTCCATATGAACAGGATCCTTCCATCCTTTTCTCGGACTGGGACCTGTTCATATACGTTCTTGGCAGATGATCCAGAAGTGGTTTGCCATTACCTTCTTCTGTGTGTGAATGGAGTAATTGGTGGGATGCCACGGAGGAAAACTCCGGGCTGCCTAGACCACGGCCTTGCCCACCACAAGTTATAAATTCGGGCACCGCAATGGGGGCTGTGTCATAGCTCAGGTGGTTAGTCGCATGCTGCTCACCACTGAAGTCGGAGTGCACATATGGGGCTCGCAGCCAACTGCGTGACAAGGCGTGGGTTTCTCTGACCGGGTCCCTCGATTTTCCCTGTCAGTATATTTCCATCGTTGCCCTGTACTCACTCATGTATCACCCGCGGCTGGACAATGGACCCGCTGCTAGTGCCCGCAGGTCCATAGAAACAAAGCCTCACCCCATCCCAACAATCTATTTATATAACAAGCAAGAGTTGGTTTGTTGGTTATCAGTTGCTGGTAAGGGACTTTTGACCTTAATGGATAATATTTATGTACGCGCATGTCATTATAATCTGATGCTGTTGAGAACATTTTAACCGAATGGGATAATAATTATGACCACAGTAAACGTGCTTATTACAAAAGATTTTCCCGTCATTCCTGACGGGAAATTTACTAGTAACAATATAATTTAGTAAACCATCTGGGATGCCCCGGAGAAACCGGGGAAGCCCCCGGAGGAAAACTCCGTGTTGCCTAGACCACGGCCTTGCCCAACACAAGTTATAAATTCGGGCACCGCCGGGAATCGAACCCGAGACCCCAGGATTACAAGGCCAGCGTTCTAACCGCTAGACCACCGTGGCACCCTCAAAACATACGAAACGATAAATTTTCAGTCCATAACCTGTAAATAAACTACTGACAGCCGCGTACGTGCACGAATAGGTAATTAACCATTCAGTCGTCTTCTCCTTCCGAGTTCGCCAAACTGGATTGGTCACTAAATATTAGGGAGTGGAGCCGATTACATACCGATTCTGTAGCAAAGCATTTCACTGGGCCAAATAATTTTTTGTCTTGATGTGCGATGCCTGGTTGCAGAAGCTTTGAAGAAAAGTCCACGTTTCGCCAGAACACGCGTCAGAGAAACAGAAGTCTTGAATCTCGTAACTTATCAATCTGTCAGCTTCTGAGCAGACGAAATTCCCTTCGTTATCGAAAGCACTGACGCGCGACGGCTCGGAGCGGGGGAAAAAAATATTAACGTCTGTCAGGAACAACGAATCAAACGAACCATCAAATTCATAGTCCTTATGAACTCTTGGAAAAGAATTTCTATTTGCTGAATGACTGAACGGAGGAAGACAATCCAGCCTCTTCCTGCCGTACTGGGGGTAGCGGACAGGAGTTCCAGGTCAATTACGAAGCGACAGACAGGTCTCGGACTTGACGGGCGGTTTCAAATATAAAATGGACGGTGATGGTACTTTTTATGAATGGGATGATAAAATTCACGAGGATGGGAAGATTGAAATAGAAGAAAAACTCGTGTACAAAATTTTGCTCTGAAAAACTGACGAGAAAAGTTCACTTGGAGATTTTCAAGGTCACGGGCATGATATCTGTCTTCTGGTTGTAGTAACACCTTGTTGTCTTGGAGAGGATTGCCGACGTTTCACAGGTACTTGCTGACCTCATAAAGGGTTTCAACGCGATACTTTCAAGAATAATAACTTTTCAGTGCAGAACTCTTGAATGTGAGATTTAAGGTTCTCAAGATGGCTGTTTCCTGGGATGTTGCTCCACGTTCATCAGACAGACATTTTCACCAGTTTTTAAACTTACCTTCCTCATCATAACACCGCGTATTTTTAAACTCCAAAGATCACCAATAACAGTGAAATGAAATTACCATCCTCGTCATAGACGCGATAAATACAAGAAATTTTTTTCGACTCCTGATTTAAGTACAAAAAACAGACGGTTACTAGTCGCTAAGTTTTATTTCTGTTATTTATTACTCCTGACAAAGTATATGAGTGTATTTATTACACAGAGTTTTGCAACATTATAGACAAATGCGCTTAACAAATAAACAGATAAATACAAATACAATTTTGCATGTATTATTTTTCGATGTTCACAATTTGCTGTTCTCACTCACGACTAAATTAATCTTTGGTTCTTTGTCACAATTGTTGGAAGAACAAATAGATTTGTTTATAGTCTATTACGTCGCAGAGTTTTTCCTTCGGAAGGGTCAATGGGCAACGTATTTTTAACTCACAAGAACTGAGGGACATTTTCAAACTTTATAATTCCTCCCGACCAAAATATAACTAAATCCTAACAAATATATTATATCTACTTATATTACATGACAAATTGACAAGTGGAATCATACTATATACACATAGAACTAACACAGTTTTTCAAACCGCGCTCTTTATAACGGCTACGTGATTGAGCATCGATCACACACGTACACATGAAACATACCTGGTGTCACATTTCATATCAATTGAAAGAAGCATCGAGTTTCGATCATAGGATTAATACGTTGAACTTTATATTTATAGGAAGTGGAAAATTTAATTTAATTATTAAAATTACGCGGAAACATAAGGGCCTCTAATCGTATAGTCAATGTGCCATAGTCTATGGGAAATATTTCAAAAAAATTAATAAATAATAAAAACCAATCAAATACACGAACGCTAAACTTAAGCATTGCGGCGACCTCGTGCTATAAAGTTCAATTGCTAACACTCGGTAGATATCAGCAAATAGTTTAAGGTCATTAATGTAAAATTTTGTCTATTTTACGAAAGGGATTTCAAAATTTGTTGTATCGTATTCATGACTTAAGAAAAAGACAATTATTCAGTGGCGTGAGTTTTTTCATCGTACGTTATAATCAGGGCTTAGGAAAGGAGAAGTCTAAACGTGTGAAGTCTGAAATGTTATCACTACTGGAAGCCCCCGACTATACATTTGGTTTCTTTTGTTACATTCCACAGCAATAAAGGAATGGATATTTCAAAGTTACTTCTTTCGAGTGTGGTACAAAATTGAATTATTTTTAATATTATACAGAAACCTACAGCAGGTCCTCGTCAGCGTGGAACATGAGACAAGGTTACTTCTTTCTTCAAGTAATTTATACACTGATGACAACATATCTCGCGTTATACCAACCAGAATATTTCTATTTTAATTTACGTAATAATGCAAAATAAATGCATTACCCAGCATTCTTAATATATATAAATGTCCATCAAAAACTGCTTGTTTCACTTTTAAACAACAAACTGAAAATGTAAATGTTTTTTCCCCAGTTGTTCCTTAATATTTTATTTTTACAAAAACAATCCACGCTATCTAGCGTGAAGGACGAGAAGTAATGCCATACTCAAAAAGACGATTAGCTCAACTGAAGATTCCGATCTGCGTCCGAAATCTGTAAAGGAAAAAAAAATAGAGGGATAAATTTAAGAAATGATCTCACGCAAAGTGATGTGTGTTGGGGCTTTAAACAAAAATAAACATTGGCCAATCGTTTAATTAGATACTTTTTTTTTTCTAATTTAAGACTAATTTTAGATTCTTACAAATTAGATATCGTTTAAAAATTAATTTAAATTAACTATTAAATTCCTGTAATCGTAAATTAATTTATTCTGTTGCATTAAAAATTGCTCTGACACGAAAATAGCATTGGAGCAGAACTCCATTCAGATTCCTCTGGAAAAGGATTTTGAGTCCTGTCGCTTTAATTAGTTGCGTCCAGATCACCAGGGCAATTAGAGAAGTTAGCCACTAGCGGAACGTGGGGTGTGCAACAGTCCCTGACCAAACAGCACGTTATCATACCCTCGGTCCTGAGGGGTTTCAGTTCTGAACCGCGAGGATCCGCTCAACACTTACGGAAGACAATAGAAAGTAAAGTATACAACAGTGAAGAAACAATTGACGTTACGTGGCACTAAAGAGGAAATTAATTTGTACAAGTGATGTCGAGAGAGTTATAACCGGTGAGCAACACAGACCAACATCACAAATTACGTTAAAATTGCATGAAAGTTATTAGACATATAATTCGACAGATATTATACGTAAGAAATACCGGAATTTGAAGAAGCTCTACCTTTCTTAAAACCTTGCAAACCATGTAGTGTATTGGAATGTAAATCACGCATACAAACGAAGTGATCAGTTTAATATACCAACTCCTGTGAAATAAACGTCCAGTGAGGTTTTGTAAAGTACGTAACTTTTATGCTCTGTAGAAAACCATAATCTTTTTTCTAAATTATTTTACATGAATTAATTAGTTTTACCACTGATGATGACCTCTTGAGGTCGAATCGCGTTTGGCATTAGTGTCCTTCAAAGCGTCAAACAGTTTTGTTTGTATTTATGATTTATAACTCTACCTTTTCTTTTCAAGGTACGGATATACATAAAAAAATTAAAATTAAATTCTGAAAGTAAATATTTTATGAAGATATTCCTTTTTTAAACCGTATTATATTTGTATTTTCAGAATGGGCGTTAACATTTGTCTGAATGCTCTTATTTTAAAGAACACGTATCATAGTCAATATTAATATCAAGAAGGGACTATGTTCACCATCAGACGCAAAGGGTTTCTGCAAGAACAACGGTTAATTGCACAAAAAGAAAAGAAAGGTGTAATCCCCAACGAGAATGAATCTGTAACTGGTTCTTTTCGTGATAATTTTGCTCTCCAGCTAGACGTCAAAATTTTGTTTTCTTTGTAACGTTTCCAGGACATTTTATCCACACTTTTGTTCCTCATTATTTCGACCACAAAAATACGTTTAACATTACGAATTTTTTTAGGCACAGACATTTCGTCAAACGTAGTTTTAAATTTTACATTTCATCGCGTTTATTTCACAGAGGCTGCATTTCTATTTTCGATAGTAGTTGGCGATCAGCAAAGTTTCGAAAGGACTTTTCACCTCCATCTTCAGGATGGGTTCAGTTTCAATTACAACAGGTAGGACACGTCGAGGCCATGAAACTGACTTATATTAACACAAATTACAAGGTGGAACACGGTACGACATTATTCAATCAATAGTTACATGACTCAAATCGAAACTTTATATAACATAGTATAGGAAATTTCACTGTACCGAGGCTGTGTGGGGCGGTGGGCCCCATGACCGGCGCTAGCTGAGGGGTGTCTTCGGTAATCTGGAGCTCCTCACTGCGACGATAGAGTGTGAAGATGGTTGCCAGACACCGGAGCCTCAACTTTCCTTCCCTGAAGACTGCGCTCGTGGCTTCGAGCTCCAGGCTGGTCTGTGATACCTCCATGCCACTGACCTCGTGTACCACGGAAGGGTAAACTACAGTGTGTTGTGAGCTGATAACCTGTAATAACGAGACGCGTCAGGAATTCGTCACTAACCCTTTCAAAGAATTTTACAGTCTCCATGCACGTCATATTAAATTATATTAACTGAAGGTTACGCGGGCTGTAGAAACCGGATTATCGCAAATTCTTAGCGATGGTTGAAGAGGAAGGTGACAAGGCGCACATACACGTTCATTTTATCAGTTTCAAGAAATTAAAATATTTACAACACTTTCGCGATGAATATGTTTACTTTCAAATATTTACCCACGTTTTATCAAAGCCCGTTCAAAAATCTCATTGAACCCTTACATTAACTCAACTAAGAACACACACTTTTCTTTTTTAAACAATTCTACTGCCACGTGGCCTTCCGTGCACCGACCAGGCATTAGAGAGATCACTAACTAACTAACTAGATGGCTTACCGAACCCGAAGGTTCATCACCGAATTAACCAAAGCCCTCCACCGGACCCTGTCCTGGGCCAACAAAATCCAGTTTCCTTCAACTCCTATCTCCCCTAGATCCCGCCTGAGATTATCCTTCCATCTACGTCTAGGTCTCCCCAGCGGTCTCTTCCCTTCAGGTTTCCCAACCAGTACCCGGTGCACACCTCTTGTCCCATCCATGCGAGCTACATTCCCAGCCCATCTCATTCTTCTCGATTAGAGAGATCACGTAAAATGTAATTTGGTTTGGACAGTGCACGCTGGTACTATTTTTCAACAACGTGGTCTACAGATTCTCCTGACGTTCCGCGGTTTTACATTTACAAAAAACATTTTATCCATTGGCTAGATCGTTTCAAACAGCCCGTCCAAGTCCGAGGATCTCTGTAACACTTCGTAACATGCACATCTGTTACAGTGGGAAGTTGTCAGACCCCGTCCAACCACCAGAATCAACACCCCTTATCGACTGACCGTAATTTTTGTATTAATAATTCCATATTTTACTGTACAAGGAATATAGCCGCTCCCAATTGGACAGGAAACCACCCATGTGGTCGCCCACTATCCAATGTTTCTCATTTTATGTTCATTGTATCATGGATTGAGTAGACGGTCAAATATACGAAGCGGATGTGAATTATTATAATTATTATATTTGTTTACCGTCAAATCACAATAAAATAGTAAGATAAGATAATTAAAATGATTAAAATATCATCTTATGTTCCATATTGAGCATTCGATTTACATCGGAACATTCACAACATGTTTCGGTTTATAAAAACCGTCATCAGGTGTAAATTATAAACTTTTAAACTCAAATTACAATTATTTACAGTTTTTTTTTTACAATTTTATAATTTTATCATCTTTCTCAGTATATTTTTTATGGAAGTTGTGTCTAGATATTATTAATATAACATTATTTGTTGAGGTGGTGTTATTGATGTTTATATCAGTCATATATGAAATAGCAATCGGTTCAGATGTGTTCAGAGGAGAGATCCAGAAGTGTTACCATCTCAGAACAAGGTTCGTTATTGACTCTAATTAATATCACAATATGACGCAACTATACTATCTCGTGAATTATAGTGTTGATCGATATGATTCGATATTGAAGATCGAGTTTTTTTTTTGTTTTGTTTCTGTAAATCGATCATTCCGTCAGGTGTGGCGGATTATTATCAAGGCTGTACGTACGCCATAAACGTGGAGAGGGAGGGACACTAGTTCGCCCCAATGTACACAGTGGAACGTGGTATGTTGTGGTGTACAAATAGCATACGAAAATAGCAAACATTGACGAGGCGACAAACAAGCAATACTAACTTCATGATTTTAACTCGTCGGAGTATGAAGGCAGAGTTACAAAATACCAGGACCGCCGACGTCGTTCTAAAAGCAGGTTCTCGGAGATATTGTTATTCCGGCACTACGTAGACATCGGCGCACGTAGGCACTGGTTATGATGTGAGATTCGCATGTCCTGTTATTCAAGTTTTTCCGTTCCCCACAGTTTAGATTACTCGCAATGTTTCTCTTTTATATTATATCATATTTTTCCACACACAAACAGAAAATTGACTTAAAAGTAAATAATAGCCCAAATATTCAAGTTCTTCCGCATGATCTGATGTTAATATTTGTGAATCCACATTAATGATATTTTAATATCTTATGTATAAATTTTATATATTTATATACAATTGTGATTAGACGGAAAAAACACGAATAATTAAACTTTAATTCACAATATGACGCAATTATATCAACTTATTCTTTCATTTAACAAACTTCGCATATCCCGCGTACTGTAGTCTTTATTAAGCACCCAAATCGGGGAAATGTATTTGTGGGTTCAGTCCACATACGCTGATACAAGAACTCTTCTCGTCCACTTCAATTCAGATTGGAGATTTAATAAATGACTAAGCGAATGATTTTCCCACTCATACAGAACCATTTATATTATCATCTGGCAACGACATCGCCTGTTCAACCTCACTTTTCATCTGTTAGTGTAGAAAAAAAGTTGACAACAAATAATTAAATCAGCTTCCCAGAAATTTTCACACAGTTATCTTGTGCTTATTCGATATTGGACCGTTTTCCACAGTTTAAATTATCACGTCAGTGGCCTGGGGCTAACAAAGTATAACAGTCACTTATGCCAGATTTCCCTCAAATACATGATTCATTCATTAATGAGAGCAACAGGACAGACGGACAGTATGTCTTGTCGATTAGCGATAGGATGCATGGCCACTTGCCTGATTTATGGCACACCAGTTAATGTATCATGTGTACGCCGTGTTAATCTGCCCGATTCCCTCCCTACAACTCCCCTACACAAACAACTAGCAACCAACATCCCCTCTTCAGGCCAATAACAAAACATGGTTCCAGTTTAGATGTGTCCTGATACGATATCTCTGCTGAAATCATATTATAATGCATATTATTCTGATACTGTGTCAATGCGTGTGTTGTTTATTATAACAGGGATAACCAAGTATTTTTCCGTCTTCCGGTGATATCCTGATTTGTCATATATAACAAGCATACGGGAGATACCTGCGTGTTCAATATGTCATGGGAAGGAAGCGAGATTTATCTTTGTAATGTTACGTCAATTTCAAATTCTGTAAACAAATCAACAGGAACGAAACTGTTAGTTCACTTTGCAGTAATTATTACAGAAAATTGGATGATGTAAACATTAACTGAAGTGACGTATACAGACAGACGTAGACTTTGTAGTAACACTAACGCTCAACGCAAAGAGCTTTCCGCTGGATCTCATCCTGAGCCCCAATTATTAAGGTGCTAATTATTGACACACTATATTGAGGTCTATTATGACCTAATAAAATGCGATGTTTTTCTCTGTGCTGATAATTCACATTTTTAGCGGTTAGAACGCTGGCCTTGTAATCCTGGGGTCTCGGGTTCGATTACCGGCGGTGCCCGAATTTATAACTTGTGTTGGGCAAGGCCGTGGTCTAGGCAACATGGAGTTTACCTCCGGGGGCTTCCCCGGAGGAAAACTCCATGTTGCCCGTCGTTAAATAATTTACTTAAGTATTTTCTTGTCTTTTGTGCGTAGGGAAAACGCAGTCTTTTCGCGGTTAATTTAATACGTAATATAAAACGGTTACTAATTTCACACGTTTTAAACTTCTTAGTCAAATCGCTGATACGTACGTACATCCGCACGCCACTGAACCCCGGGCATACGCAAACTTCGCGCTGATCCACGGTGCAAGGGACCGGGTATCAGTTTTGATCAAGTTCTATTGGACTGTTCCCATAGGTTAGTCCACGAACTGCGAGGGGAGTCAATATAAATAACTGAAATTCAAGAAGCGATGCTACTTACGCCGTTGTTGCTCTAAGCGCGTTTATCTCCCTGTGACGCACGTGAGCCGCTTACGATAAGGTGCCCCAAAATCGACGACAGAGTAAGGTGAATTATCCCATGAATCTGGGCTAAATATAACGAGACTGGCAACGAGCTGGTTAATTCGGTTGCAGATCGGCTGTTTCAAAATTAATTCACATTCAGAGATCGCGGTATACAACGAGAGATTACGGTGGTCTAGCGGTTAGGACGCTGGCCTTGTAATCCTGGGGTCTCGGGTTCGCATTTATAACTTGTGTTGGGCAAGGCCGTGGTCTAGGCAACACTGAGTTTTCTCCGTGGCATCCCAACAATTACTCCATTCACACACAGAAGAAGGCAATGGCAAACCACTTCTGGATCATCTGCCAAGAACGTATATGAACAGGTCCCAGTCCGAGAAAAGGGTGGAAGGATCCTGTTCATATGGACCTGTCGTCAGACAGAACACTAAAAAAATTAAAATAGCTGTTCAGTGTTTGAACGATTGTCAATTTCTTAAGCAGTAAACTCTTCTATGGAGTTGGTTGCGAGCTGCACCAGTCACCCTACAATTTGATATTGGAGCTTTAAAGAGTTGCACATTCAGCATATGAATATTACACACCCCTGTCGAGGGCCTTCCGCAACACAAAATCCGGGGTTTGCCTCTCGGGCATCGTAAGTAACTCCCCTGCCTACATAACGCATTGAACCACGGACACAAACCGGGAGAAACAACTGTTTTTATCATGTAATAACACTGAACAATTATGTATTATTATGTACATCGGTTTGTGTAGACATACAGCGATCATCTGCATTACGAACAGGGCTATAATACCAGCCAGTTTTAAAATCAACAAGCATCCCCTTTTAAATTATGTATGGATTTATGGCTCTCTATAAATGTACCTTTGTTTACAGGTTTCAGCGATATGAATGTAATTACCATATTGTTTCTACGCGTTTTACGCGTTAACAAACAATACGCAGGTGTTAACTAGAAATATTTTCGTTTGTGTACAGTGTGATATGATTTTTTGTTCAGGTTAGATACAAGGCAAGGCACTGGAGCCACAGATGCAGACTTTGCTCTTAAAGAAACCCAAATGTTCTATTTTAAAAGTGCTGCTATCATTTGACAGCTTTTAAAATCGTAACATGTTTGACAGAAACGTACGTAGCACGGTTGAAATATGTCGTTGTTGCACGAAAGTTTAAAGGGAATGGAAAAAATACGGAAGGAGAATTTGCTATGAAGAAAAATGTGGCAACTTAAGAAGCTGAGGAAAAGGTCACTCGCCACTGACATTTCACGGTCTCTTTCCAGTACCAACACATCTAAGAACTAAGCTGATTTGCAATGTTCCGGTCCTGTATGAGGTCTACAAACTATGAACGGCGAAGTTCAAAGGTTAAACACAAGTAACAGAAGACATAGCTATTTTCCGGGTTAGTGGGAGCTTCGACAAAGGTAAAACAATACCGTCGAATTAACCGTGCGGCCACAGAACAGTCCTA